AGAGAGAGAGGGAAACATTGATGTGAAAGGGACACATCGAGTGGCTGCCATCCGCACGACCAACCAGGGCCGGGGACAAACTGCAACCGAGGTACATGCCCTTAGCGGGAACCGAACCCCGGTCTCTCCGGACCGCAGGCCGATGTTCTAACCGCTGAGCCAAACCGGCCAGGGCCCGTGTGATTTTAAAATCCAGAAATGCAAGGATATTATTGAACTTTCTCACTATGATATTCTCAGTGCCTAGGACAGGGACTGGCACATGCTAAGTGTTGTTTAGCACATATCTGTTGAATAAATTAATGAAATTATTTGCTACAAAGAAAAAACCAAACCAACTGATATAACTAATGAAACTGTTAAATGATATTTATTTCACCTTGATCTCATTTTCAAACCTCAGTCTATTTGTATTATAAATATACATATATTTTAATGTACATTTTTATACAAGCTGAGTCTTTGTCTAGTTCCAGGTCATGCTCATGAGCGTTGTTCATGCTGGAAGAAAATCTCATCATGATGCTTATGAAACTGACAGAGCTACTGCCCATGACTCCATTTTCCAATCCAGTTTCAGAGAATAAGATCACCCTGCTCGTTTCCAGCATCATCTAGTCTTACCCCCAAATCCTGTGGTTTTGGCTCAGCGATCTGATGCTAACTAGAGATGAGCTGCTTTTCTAGTAGCAATTTTAGTTGAAAACAAAATACTACTGTGGTTCTGAATTGTTTCTTTTGCCAACTCTTAGCTGTCAAAGTATAAAAATTTTTGTTTAACATATGACAAGCTGGTGTGTCTCAGTATTTGAGCATCGACACATGCCCAGGTTGTGGGCCAGATCCCCAGTGGGGGGCATGCAGGAGGTGGCCAATCGATGTTCTCTCTCATCGGTGTTTCTCTCTCTCTCTCTCCCCCTTCCTCTCTCTCTCTAAAAAAATAAATAAATATATATTTTTAAAATTTTGTTTAACATAGTGTCCCATTTTGAAACTTGAAAGATTCTTTATAAAAGGAATATTCCCTAGAAGGGATAAAAATAAATATAATTTCACTCTGAATATGCTGATTAATTACTGACATGTAATTGTTGCCATGTGTACTGAACTCTTGTCACAAAGTTTTCATCCCTTTTTATTCCTGAGCCGCTTCATTCTGATCGTCCAAAATTTGCAGTAGGCGTATTGAACATCATGGGGTAATCTGCTCTTCCTTAGAAAACTCCGAGTACTTGCACCCTGGCTATTTGTCACCGAAGAACCCAGCAAGACATTGATGCTTCCACTTCAGAAGGGGTAATTGGAGGGTGTGTGAGGAAGTGCTGCTAACAGACAGTGAAAACACCCCAGGCTGAAAACAGGGAGGGACCATTATCCCTCTTAGCTCCACAAGAACCCGAGGGAGCCTGCAAGTGTAAGGACAGGTGGACCAAGGCCGCTTGCGAGGCAACTAGGGCCACATTGCTGCCTCACACGAAGAAAAACAAGTCAATAAATATCTTGTCTTCTGACCTCCTGCTGTGGCCTGTCAAACCCAGCATATAGCCAGAGGTCAAGAGAGCCTGATTTTTGCAATTGATAGAGAGTAGTCTCCAGAGGTACGGAATAGAGGGATGGGTGCAGAGAAGATGGGGAGGGGCAGCTGGGGAATACCCAGCATAGCTGCTAACAGAAGTTAAAGAACATCACATGGTTTTGGCTCGTGCACTTGCACTTCATGGAGCTTGAATCTTCCCCATTTCTAACCAGACGCACCACCTTTCTTTTAAATATACGTAAGAGAAAATTTGAAGTCATTTTTCCTTCTTCCTTCTTCATTCTTAGTGTTTAAGCTATGCCCAGTTTCTTTCATATTTCTTAAAAATATGTCTCTAGCCCTGGCCGGTTTGGCTCAGCAGTTAGAGCATCGGCCTGCGGTCCGGAGAGACCCGGGTTCGGTTCCCGCTAAGGGCATGTACCTCGGTTGCAGTTTGTCCCCGGCTCTGGTCAGTTGTGCGGGTGGCAACCACTCGATGTGTCCCTTTCACGTCGATGTTTCTCTCTCTCTCTTCCTCTCTCTCCCTCCCACTCTACCTGAACAAAAAATGGAAAAGTGTCCTCGGGTAAGGATGATAAAAAAAAATAAAAATATGTCTCTAATGCAAATTGATGTGATTTCTGCTGTCAGCACCTTTGTGTAGGTCTTCACTTGGCCATCTTATGTCAATTAATTGCCTCATGATAAATGTCCAAGAAGCTGGTCTTAAATCTCCATCTGCTTCGCTCAGGGACTTACTCTGGTTCTCAGTTGTTATTGATGTGGAATTCAACATTGTCTGCCTAGGGTTAGACTTTCCACCACATGTCTTCGACATCACCAATGATCTTTACTTCCTAATTATTCCTCCTCATGAATCTTCCTGTTCTAATATAATCTGAACATATGGTTCTAATTACTACTTTGCTGATGCCATTTTTTTCCATTTTAGAAGATTACCCCTAAGTCACTAAATCTTAAAAGTTATCTATCTTTCTTGGAGGAGACAAACAAAGGCAGTATCTCCAACATTCACCTTGTAAGCGTGGAAGGAAAGATACTTCTAACCTACAATTCCTTGGGCTTTAGTTAGGGAGTACTATGCTTTATCACTCTAAGCTAGGGGGAGGGATAGAGTTGATGACTATAATTTTCTGTGCCAAACCAGGTAGAATGAAAGTTGAGTAAAACATTACTTGAGGTAAATATTGCTTCAAACTGGGAAAGGGGACAAGAAGATACAGTGGACAAGAGCATGTGCTTTTAAATCCGGCATGCTTGGTTTTGAACACTGGCTTTGCTACTTATTCACTTAACAGTACACCTTTTTATGTGTTTAACTTATGCCAGGCAAAATGCTAGGCATTGGTGATAAATTGGAGAGCAAAACACACATCCTCATGCCCTCATAATTTGATGGTAGATTAATCAAACAATCTTATAATTACATACAATGATAAATCAGTCTTGGAAAAATTCAGGAAGCTATGCAGGTATGTTTGGGATGTAGTCAGTCTGAAAACTGGATATAAAATAACCCAGGAAAGAAAGCAGACCTCAGGTAGATGAGAGTATGATGCTATTTATAGAAAGGCAGATGGCTTGACCATAGAAAGCATCAAAGCCTGAATGAGAAAACTACCTCAGGATGTGAATGGAACCAGACCACCCAGAGCTTTATCCCAAGACAAATGAAAATCATTAAAGATTTTTAAGCAGGAAAATTGCGAGATCAAATTGCTAAGTGAAATAAACCAGTCAGAGAAAGGCAAATACCATATGATTTCACTTATATGAGGAATCTAATGTACAAAATAAACTAACAAACAGAATGGAAACAGACTCAAAGATATGGAAAACAGACTGACAGCTGTCAGAGGGCAGGGGACAGGGAGGCAGGGTGAAAAAGGTGAAGGGATTAAGGAAACACACACACACACAGACGCACACAAAGAAAGAAACAAACAAAAAAAACCCCTCATAGATAGACAACACTATGGAGATTACCAGAAGGAAAGGGGGAGGAGGAGTAAAGAGGGGATAAGTGGTGATGAAAAGAGACTTGACTTGGGGTGGTTCACACAATTCAATATACAGATGATGTATTACAGAATTGTATCCCTAAACTTATATAATTGTGTTAACCAATGTCACCCCAGTAAATTTTTTAAAAAAAATTACTCTGACTGCAGTAAGAAAAATAATTGGATTGAAAGGTATTTGAGTATTATGGGGAATTAAGTAAACTGGAGTTTGAAACATTCCAGGCAAGAGACAACTGTAGCTTGAACCAGGGAGTGGTAGTTGGAGAGACCTAGTAGATATAATGACTCCTACTGTACTTGCATTTGCAGCTGATTGGAAGATGCCAGCCACTGAGTTAGGGAATACATAAATAGGACCAGAATTAATTGCATTTTAATTTGACTAAGTTTAGTTTAAGATGCTTTTGAGATCTCTAAACAGAAACGTCAAATACGTTCTTGAATATAAACGTCTGAAGCTCAGAAAGCCCTGGGTTAGATATCTGAATCTAGTACTTACTGGCTTATAGTTGGTTATTAAAGTCATAGGCATGGATGAGATAGCTTGGAGAAAGAGACTATAAAGAAGGAATGTTGGATAAATCTTTGAAACCCTCTAATATTTAAAAGCCAGTTAGAGCCAGCAAAAGAAACAGCCATCAGAAAAGTAAGAGAGGAACCTGGAGAAAGCCAAGAAGCCATGGAAGGATGGTCCTTCAAGAAAGAATGGTTAATGGTGCTGAATGTTCCTGGGAAGTCAAGCTCATTGAGGATTGAAAATTGTCAAGCATGAAGCTTGTGAGAGTCGTGCAATTGGAATTTTGTGTACACAAACTAGACTACAGTGGATACATATAAGGAAATAGATTCTGTATAAATAACTCTTTGCAAGGCAAGGGGGGAAGTATGATAACTGGAGGGGAAGCTGGAGTCTAAATATTTTTAATAGAATAAACTTTTAAATATGTCTCAGTACCATGACAGTGACCTCTGAAGAGAGAGAAATCTAACAAAAAAGAGAAAGGGTAATTAAGAGAAAGCTATGGTAACATTGACTGTTATTTAATGTCTTTGACTTGGTTTTCACATCTATAAAAGGGTAAAATATACCTACCTCCTAAGATTATTCTAACAGTTAAATAGCATAATGTTAATAGAATGCTTAGCAAAGAATTTGGCACACAGAATGCATTTAATAAAGTGGTGCTTAAAATGAATCCAGCACCTAGCACAGTATCTTATGTACATTAGATGGTCAACAAATTTTTGTTAAATGTTGAATGAATATGATTCTGTTACATGATTTTTGATTAGTTGGGACTATAAATGAGTCTGATGCATGTTACAATACACTGGGTTATAGATGCACCTTGAATATTCACCAATGATGATTATGATGATGATAATGTTCAGTATTTGCCATCTGATGATGTTGATGATTTGGGCATTTATGTTCACAGGGTACTATTTTTCTGCCTGGAAATAAAGTCCTTGAACATCCCTGTAATGAAGAGAGCCCAGGGAAATTCCTTTTTGAAGTAGTTCCAGGTAAGATAGTTTTCTCATTTGATTACAGTATTGTTGTTCCATATTGGGAAAGGTAAAAAGAGATCAGATAGCCTCTCTTCTTCTAGAGTCGTGGCTAAGAGTATTAATTTGAGGAGGCAAGTATCAAATTTGTTTCATATTTACACAGATAATGATTCCAGGATTGTACACTGATACAAATCCTGAATGCGCACACACATACACATGGCCACATGGTTATTGGATATTCATTTGCCCACAGACTCCAGAATGACCAGAAGTCATGCCACAACATCCCTAAGAGACTATTGGAGACAGAGTTGATTTTACAGTGCTCTTGTAATATGAAATTTTAGCAAGGTATTACAGGTACAATGTATCATCCAGCTGATTTACTGCCATAATTTCCACACAAAACTATATTGTAAAGGAGCCTTTGCTATGGAAACAAAAGAAAAGAAAAATCTCCTTCAACAACTGACAAAATGTTGCAGTCCTGTACCTCAACTTTCTTCCCAACCAACCACTTCCATATGTTTGGCTTACAGAGTTGAGGATGTCTCTGCCAAGTTATTAGATCCTGCAGTTAAATTTCTTCAACATCTGTTCATTTTTTTCTAGTTATCTTCATTCATCCCTCTCAGAGTACCTGATCTCCATTTAAATCTTTGACTTACCCAGTAACAATTCTTCAAGGCCATGATCTACTTTTTTGATGAGTTCTTAGCCCTTCCTTAATCCTTGAAGTAAGAAAAAGAGAGTTAAGGATATGCTTTTTACAACATTGGCTCTTACTGACCCAGTTGATGTGATATTAACATTGGTTTAATCACAGTCTAGAATTTATTTGGGTGAGTAATATGTAATGCATATCAACAATGCTGGCACAAAGGCAGTCAACAAAACATTTTTCCCAGCTTTATAAATGCTGGGAATCTAAAATGTGAAAGCATATTTTTCCCTCCTCAATGAAAACAGCTGTAGCACTGAGTTCATCTGGCTCACAATGGAATCCATGACTAAATGTTAATTAATGCAGCTGAAGTGCAGAAAGGTTAGTCAGATGCATTGTGTTATTTGTTTTCCCCCCAAGGAGAACATATTGCAAGAAACCTGAATCTTGTTTGCCCTATTAAAATCCTTTTTATACTTACTTCTTAGTGGAATACTCTGTATAGAACCAAATTCCAGATGTTGCAAAGTCTTTGAAGTATCAATAGAGGAAACTTCTTACCATATTTATTCTCAAACATTAGTGCCTGGTGGCTTTTTAATGAGCATGGTATTAAACTGACAGCTTTGACTCTTTATCTCCAATAATACTAAAAGTCTACTAATTGTGTAGAGATTTCATCTTTCAATGAAGATGTTCTGGTGTAATATAAATGGATATTGTCAAGATTTCTAGAGACAGCTGTGTCTTTGGGCTCAGGAAGTCACAAAACCTCCCCCCCAGATTGCTGTTCTAGGGCAAGTGTTGCACATGGAGTGCACATGGAGCGATGGCTTTTGATGAGCAAAGCTTAAGAAGCTCAAGACTGTATGATGTGGAATCTGAAGGTTGTTCTTTCAAAACAAATGAGCCCATAACTCATGTGAAAAGATGCTTCCTGAATCATTAGTACAATATGTGCAGCTTCTAAATTAGGTTTTCCAATTCTGAAGTGACAAGAGAATTATGTCAAATGCTTCTTTGAAGAGAGATTTGAAAAATCACTATGGCCACAGTGAGAATTCAGTGTCTGCACCATTAATCTTGGTCACTGGGGGTTCATTGGTGTGCCTCTGACATCAGGATAGAATTTCAGGCAAATGCTTCTGTATTTGTATGAAAATGTGGGGATCTGTATCACATGATTTTAATCAATTTTTGCACAATAAGGATTACTTGGGAATAGCATGACAGTTGATTTATTTTTGCAAGTGGGAATGACAAGATAATATTTTCTAAGTTTTCCAATTGTGAAATAGTTGGACATGGGGAATCTGCAAAGTGCATGAGTGTTTTCATTTGTCAAAAACTGTAAGAGACAGGAACGACTGTGAAAATGTGGTCAGTGCCTTGTACAGAATCCTCTTCTGGCCTGCCTGAAGGCAGATCATCATAACACATACTCATTCTACATTGCTTTCTCTGTGAAATTCTCTCGATTATCACTTCTGAGAACCCATGCTGCAAATGATGCTTACAGATCCAACACTATGCTGTCTTTATGGACAAGTCCCCAAAGTCTACCCAAGGTACAGCCATGAATTGAATTACATACCTTAATCCCACCTGCCTATAAATGGTATCTAACAAAACTAACAATAGCTTCCAGGACGCTCTTTGACAAAAGTTCTAGTACCTATGCACATGCATATTTGTGTGTGTGTGTGTGTGTGTGTGTGTGTGTGTGTGTGTACTATATAAAAGGAGAGGAGAGAGAGCGCGCGTTTATGACATGTGCTATATATCTTTATGGTTTCCATACCTTTGTTTTGTTTTTGCTTCAGTCTGAAATACTTTATGATATTAAGTATTAATCATGTGCAAATAAGAAAAACAAGATTCTTCAATAGAATTGGATATCTTACTACAAGTCTATGAGTCAGGCTATATTACTTTTTACTGTGTGTATTCTATTTCTATACAGGCTTTAAGCTTTTGTAAAACCTATTTGAAAAAACTACCATAATTTGGGATTAATTTTTTATAGCCTTGCTACCTCATAAAATGAATGATCTCTTTGAATAATACTATGATTTAAAGCATTGCACTCTAATTTTTTCCTACTTCTCTACTTGTTATTCAAAAAGGAGGTATTAGCCAAATGGGCAAATTTGAAGACTTTGCTGTCTGACATGCCAAATTTTAGACTGGAATACATTTTATCGGCCAAGTGCTAAGCTTTTGGGAAATGTGGTTGAAAAAAGAATGTTGGCAGACCTTTAACATATAGAGCTCAAAGAAAGAAAATAGCCTCTGCTTCTCTAAAAATGTGTTCTGTGAAAGCTTTTCTTGTGATGTTTTAAAAAATTAACAAAGTAATTAATGGAATAATGATGCCATAACTTTTTCAGAAGAAGTCTATCAAAGGGAGGAAAAGCAATAGAGATTCAGAGACAGACAGAAAGGCCGAGAGAGACAAGGGGGTATGAATGAGGTCTTTCTCTCTCATTACCACATCCCTAACTCCTTGCAGTATAATGCAAGGTGCTGAATAAATGTTTAGTAAAATGTATATATCTACCAGGAGGAATCTCAATCATATGAATTTTTTTTGCTTGGCTGTCATGACTCCCAATTTGGCCACATTCCTACTTCCTGCTGTGTAGGATCTTTCCATCCCCGGGTGCAGCTCGGACCTCTGTGGCTTTGGTGGCTGGAGTGGTTGGAAACTTCGCACATTCTCGTTCCTACTTCTCTGCCTTCCTCTCTAATGATAGCAAGAGAGTGATGGAAGAAGCTTCCCACACAGAAGCTTCTGCGGGAGCATAGCCCCTTCACACTGCCTGCTTAGTGCATGTCTCCCCAAGTGCTGACCCTCTCGTGGAGTTCATCTGTGGATTTTCCCACATCGCTAGAACTGGAATGCATTTCACATGGTAGGGTTCTCTACCTTGGGCATGCTCTTGTTGGACGGGACACCAACGGAGGACTCGAAGGCCCGCGCGTTCTCTGTGTTTATCCAGCTACCAGAAACCGCATGAGCCTGCCAAGTGAGAGTAGCGCAGGCTGTTTTGCTGCCGCTGCCCTCCTCCACTTGTCACCTTGCCCTTTCTCGGAGCAGCAGGGTCAGTGGCCTGCCGCCTTCACGGGAGCCATGACTCGGGGAAGCGGTGGGTGACCGTGCTAGCACGCTTCAAAGTTTACGGGCAATCCTCTCGTGCTTCTCTGATTTGTTCTGATGGTTGAGAGAAATTCTTTTCCTCTCTCTCCAAAAAACAGTGTTTACCTTGAAATCTGCCTCCCCCTTGTAGTTAGTCAGGGGCAGGGAAATGGGGTTTGCGTTTTTTCCTCTGAAATGCCTTCTCTCTACAAACCTGTAGGGAAGTGGCTTGGCACAACTTCCCCTTTCTTTTCGATGTAGGATGTGAGTTTTTAGCACTTTTTAATTCATATTTAGATCTTGGTGATTCCAGGATAATGGAAAGACAGTTTGTTATCTATAGCTATCTATAATCATAGCCCGGATTCCGGGGAGACACATTCTGATGGAGAGTTATGATCAAATGTTTATCGGGGAGCATCTGTGAGAAACTGAGGAAAGCAGGGAGGGGCAGAAGAAGGAGCTGTCCCATAACACCATTGCAACTGAGGTCTCAGCTGACGCCATGGGGAGCCCTGGAGCTGGGGTGTCTCTCACAGTTGCTCCAAAGTGCGGCACCAGACCTATTTCCTGGCATCAGCTCATCTAGTCATTGACTGGGCAGAGGGGATTCAGATCAACGGGTGAAGTAGTTGCCTGTTGCAGGGCAGACTGGTTCCCGTGGGAGCCCCTGGGAGCCATCAGCGGTCAGTATACCGCTTCCTGGGAGTTAGAGCATTATGTATCCATTACAGTATCTGTAGCTTTATCTGCAGCTGGCTTTCTGTGTCCCAGGTTAAGTACTGGCTTTTCACGTGTATCACTGTATTTAGCACTTACTAGGACTCTGTGAGGCAGCCTCTTTCATTATTTCCATTCTCAGATAAAGAAACTGAGGCACAGAGAAGCAATTTGAGTAAGGTATGTGTGTGCACATGTCACTGATTTATCTTTACCAAGGTAAAGCTCCCAGGTTCTGACTTACAATATGAGCTATTAGAATTTTGACTATAGTTTGTGAAATATGAACCTGTGAACTCTTTATTATTATTAGCTGAAATAGATGTACTTGTATCTTTTCTTTTTTTATCTTTAATGTTGAGACTATTAGAGATGCCCCCCTCTCTTTCTCCCCATTGACCCCCTCCTCCCGGAATATCTCTTCTTAACTCATCCATTAAGAGTGAGTTTCAGTACTTGAAGTGAGAATAGCCATTTTCATTTATTTAT